ATCTTACGTCAAAATTACGACGAAATAGTTTGACGTTGTAAGTTCGACGTAATTGAATCGTAAATTTACGACGATTTAGAATTGAAATAACAAATTCGTTGGAAATGGACCTCTTTCTTGTAGTGTTTTATTAGATATCTAAACTGTATTTATAGATTTACATGACACACTTTGACTAAGGGACACATCTCTAGAAGACAACCCAATGTGGAGACCACACACACATGTAACTGTTTTGCAGTTAACAATTCTAATCTCTTCGGTGTGTGATATGAATAGTTTACATAAATCAGTTACGTATATAATATATGACTCTTCTAAAATAAGAAAATAGGGGGTTGTTCTAAAAGTGACCTAAAACTTGATTTTGAATTCAAAAGTAGACCCTTTTATTCAACATTTAACAAAAATAACCTAAAGGCTTAGTGAAATGACAATATAATCATGTATGACAAAAAAAAAAGATATCCTAATTACCTTTTAAACTCTTGCAAATTCTACTAAAGACTGTAGAAGTCTTCTAGTAGACTTCTAATAAAGTATATGAAGTCTACTATGTAATTACATTATTTTAAAATTAATAAAAAATAATTTTGGTTTCAAATTTGCAATCATAAGTTTGATATGGTTATTTTTAATGTTTATAATTTATTATCTCACATTCATAAGTTTAAATTTATGGTTTCAAATTAAGAAGAGCAAAATATTTGATTTAGGGTTTACACTCAATAGACTTCAATATGAAAGTCTTTTAAACCGAATAAAATAAATTTACCGAGAATTAAACCAAAATTGAACAGAAAATAACTTCTCCTAACCAAAAAACTTCCCAACTTACATAGACCCAGATATAAACCATAATAAAACTAAAAATTGTTTACTCTAACTGGAAAATCTTCCCATAACTGCCTTTGGTGTCTGGCAAAAGTAGAGTTGGTGAATCACATTCTTTAGCAAGACAAGTATATGGGCAATATCCAATATTCCCAACACCAGAGAATGGTTATTGTGGATCAGTTTATGATAAGACTGTAAAGACGAGGATTCTTTTTCTCTTATTCCCAACACCAGAGAATGGTTATTGTGGATCAGTTTTTCCCAATATCCAATTTTCCACGCTTATACTATCATTTATATACTAGATTCTCATCTGAACACCTGTGCGGGATTATTCATTTATAAATTTAATATAAATATATAATAAACTCTTATAACAATACTTCATTATGTAGACCAAATTTAGTGAGTGGTTTGAGTTGTGTTTTGTTATAAATATTAGGTGTCTAATTGTATGGTGTTTTGATGAATATAATTGAACGTTGATAACTCTAACGAGGTTGAATAAATTTTATAGTGCGTCTCATCTATTGAACAAAGTCTGTGTAGCGCAATAAAATGATAATCATTCTTTTTAATTAAAGTTTTATGACAGATTATTTTTTTAACTACATCAATAACCAATAATATTAAAGGCTGCACGAAGCACGGTAACTGACTAGTATATAATATGAGAAAGTGAAAGATTATCTCTTAAACTTCTTTCCAGCAGCACTCAAATCGACGTCATTCTTTATAGAACTATCAATGTAATGTTTGACTTCTGAATCACCAATACTGTAGTAATTTCTGCTGAAAGGGGCATGAAAGTTTGACATAAACTCGTCTTTGTATGGTTTTGCTTTTCTTATTATTTATTTTGTGGCTCTATTTAAGAGAATACTCTTTTTTTGCTCTGTTCTCTGCCCTTTAGTGGGCTTTTTCAATGCAATTCAGATGAAAAAAAAAATAGTACCACCACATAAATGGAAGATAAAGATTGAAAAATAGAATACTTGCAAATTTACATATATACTATCACGCTAGAACTATTAATAGATAGATAAATACTTTCGTTTTCAATGGAAGTCTAGGGTTAATTCTTTTGCAAGAGGTCGCAATATGCATGTTTGTGGCCCTTTTATATGTTTCATGAGTGAATAAACCCTCTGAAATCCATCCAAAAGATAATTAATAGGAATTGGTAGAGTGTAATAATATAGATATGACAGATAAAACATCTATATTATTAGCTTGCGAATAGTATCATGGCAAGATGCCAACACTAACAATGGGCCATTCCTAACATACGGCTGGCAGACGACTGAAGAAAGATAGAATCTCAAAAAATTCTAATTAAAGCAAATCTCAATGGTCCATCTATCGAGTCCAAAAATGCGATCGTCAATGTCCAAAACAAACCACTGAGACGATTCAAGATCACCTCAAAAAACTTGTTTTCGTGCAGCCAAAAGAAGATTAAAATGTAATACTGAAATCAATGCATGATCTTAGAAGACAAAACAATACTTGGCAAACGTACTACAAGCCAAAGCAGCAATCTGCTTCGCATCAGCTACCTCAAACACATCTGTGATTCCTACAACCATTTATCAGGAAACAAATTACTGCCATTAATTCTCTTGTTAGGTCTTAGTTTCACTCAAATTGAAAGATCATACAGCTTGGAAACAATTTTGCAAAGTATGAATCGCCTATGAAAGAATAGTGTTGGGAGGAGATTACATAATACAGGGTGCGATCGAATTTAAGACCTAAGGATCGAACAAGGCCGATGCACTGGTTCTTGACAAATAAAAACAGATATTGAAATTGAATTTGTGCCCGAAATGTTTTTTCTTGCTCTATGGGGTATTAAAATGTTAGAGCTGGCCATGAGAAAAGAATTTGGTGAGAAAACTAAGGCAGAACAGTTAATGCCACAACGCCACTGACTGCCGCTGCGATAGCTCCGACCACAAATCCTGGTAGGTTTCCACCTCCAAACAAGGCATCGAACGGTCCACCTCCAAGTGACACAAACATTTGTGGTATCACGATTGCCAAATTCAGAACTCCTAGAGAAAGCCCTGTACATTAAACAAAAAGGGACACCCGAGTTTAGTTTTAGATGTTTTTTCTATAAATTATTATTATCCCATATTAAGGGGTTTGAATTTTTATTATTAGTATTAAAGTTAAAATACCTTGGCCGGCGCCAGAGTCGCTTGAGATTATGGAAGCTAATGCGAACGGGATACTGAAGGTAACCTGTAATAATACAAAAAAGGATTAATTTTACTGATGAAAATAATTAAAACCAATGGATACTAATCTAGTAACAAAATGGAAAAGACAATATGGACTTACAGCAAGAGGAATTCCAAGAATAGCAAAGAGAGTCAACGCTCCAGCTCTGTTTCCTTCGGTCGGACCAGCATATGCACCAGCGGTTTTCCGGTGAGCCTCAGCCAACTTTGTAACCAAAACCGTCATGGCCAAACACACGGCGAGGATGAAATTCACAACTCCCCAGAGCCGTTTAGCTCCTCCCATTTTCCGACCAATCCATTCAATACCAAGCGACATGAATCCAAGAACGATAGCGTTTATCATCAATCCCAACGCACCAACGTGTACTCCTTGGTTGTAAAGGCTCTTCAATTTACCGTCTCCTGCGGAGTCACCACCGTACACTTCACGACCCATCCAATCGGTATCGAACAAAAGAAAAGGGAACCAAGCGATCCAGTTCAAGGCCGTGACGATTATTAGCATCCACATCGGACGTTTCATCACCCGGAAAGCTCCAAATATCTCACCAAAAAAGGGAGTTTTCACGTTGGAGTCTCCTTTCTCCGGCAACCATTGTTTGTCTTTGACGTATAAGAGTGATGCTATGGTGAGGCCGAGGAGGAGGATGATGGAGATGAGAACAACTCTTGAGGTTCGCGCAATAGATGTCGCAGCGTTTGTCATTGTGAAAGGAAAGATCTTGTGGAGGTTAGTGTAGGATCCCGCCGCGTATCCCAAAACATTTCCGACCGCCATGAAAAAGGAGAAAAATGCGTTTGCGGTCCGCGTTTTCTTTGCGTCTCCTGCAGCTAAGTCGGCAAGGAAAGCTCGGCAAGGTCCTTGAAGTGTGTTGTTAGCTACGTCGAGGATCCAGAAGCCGAGAGCAAAGAACCATATGGCACGTTTCTTTGGAGTCTGCTCGAGCTTGTCTCCCGCCATCTGGCCGAGATCAGCGGCATATCCGATCAGGATACCAGCGACGGCGACGAGGACGGCACCGGTTGCAATGAAAGGACGGCGCCGACCAAATCTTGAGGTGCATCGGTCACTGTAGTAACCGACGGTTGGCTGGACAAGCATGCCGGAGATGGGACCACATAGCCAGATGAGAGATGACCATTTGTGTGGGATTCCGAGAAGCTGCACGTACGGAGTCAGAAGAGAGAGCTGTAAGGCCCACCCGAACTGTACACCAGCGGCGATTGAAGCCACCGATATCATCTTCCTTAGTGGCGATGGCTCACCAATAACCGCTGCCGACAACGGCGAGGACTGTGTATCTAGAACAGCCGCATCTTTCGAGGGTGTTTCTACTTGGAGGGCACCCATATCGATTCAGATAATGGGTTAACAAAATCAAAAGGAAGAGGATAGCAAATATCGTTTCAGATAAATTTTAAAATGTGTTATGTTTTTGTGTGTTTTGGTGATGAAGGAGATGATAGAATGGGGCTGTATATATAAGCAAGGTGAATAGGGATGAGATGTTTATTTGAAAACTGTCAGAGATGATAATTTTGGAATGTTTTCTACAACTGAATATTTGTTTGAATCTCTCTGTCATAGCTGTTTTGGAAAGTAAATATTGGATATTATGCTGTAACATCTATATCCTTATTAGATTGTTTTAATGTATCTATCCCTCCTGATCTCTGTTGAAATTTGAACTCTCAAGGTATTCTGCAGTGTTAGGAATTGTAGCTAAATTAAGGTATTGTGGTGAAACCATTACGGAGTCTCAAATGCTTGAGAAAACATACACCACATTCCATAAAAACCACATCACTCTGCAACAACAATACTGATTGCGTGGATATACCAAATTTTCGGATTTGATTGTGGCACTCTTAATAGCTGAGAAGAATAATGAGCTCCTTATTAAGAATCACATGACACAACCTACTGGATCTAAAGCGTTCCTTGAAGCAAATGCATTGGATGTTAAGAATCCAGTTAAAGAGAACAAAGCATCTCGAGGACGTGGCGGTCGAAATTACTGCGGACGTGGGAGAAACTACAGCCCACAGAATAAGAAGTCATTCCAGTGGACTCGTTCTGAACAATCCCCGAAGGGAAAAGAACACCAAGGAAGTACCTCACAGAAGCGAGAGGATGCTTGTTTCCGATGCGGTACCAAGGGACATTGGTCTCGTGTGTGTCGTACTCCTGCACATCTTTGTACATTGTACAAAGAATTCGTCAAAGGCAAGGGAAAGGAAGTCAATCTTGCGGAGCATTCTGAGGGTACAACGCACCTCGATGCATCTGACTTTGCAGATGATTTTGACGATACCGCCCTTACGAAAGCCTGAAACATCCACCATGTGACTACTGAAGTTCCAACAAATGTGCCATTAATAATTGTCGCTTATGTAAAATATAATGTATAATTAATGTTGCTTGCATTACCTAAATATGTATAATTATTGTGTGATATTTTCTTATTAATGTATAATTATTGCATGATATTTGCTTTATGAATAAATATCTTATTATTATTAATTATTTTTGTTTATTACAGAAATAGATTACGATACAAACGAAACTTGACATATACTAAAGATATTTGTATACCAGATAGTGGAACAACACACACTTTCTGATACATAGAAGATATTTCTCAGATTTGAGACCGGCAAAAATTGTTGTCAACACAATATCAGGTCCTGCAGATCTGATTGAAGGGACTGGTAAAGCTAATTTTGCATTACCTTATGGGACAAAGTTTTCGATAAATTATGCACTATTTTCTCCAAATTCAAAGAGGAATTTGTTGAGTTTTAAAGATATATATCTTCAAGGTTTTGATACTCAGTCTGCAACTGAAAATGGGAAGAAATATATATACATAACTTCTGAAAAATCAGGAAAAAGGCATGTATTAGAAAAGTTACCAGAACTCCCTTTTGGTTTACTTCATACATACATAAATGTGATAGAATCAAACCTTGTGATCAAGAAAAATTCTGAAGATTTCACACTATGGCATGATCGTCTTGGTCATCCAGGCACCACTATGCTGCGAAAAATCATAGAACATTCACATGGATATTCATTGAAAATCCAGAAGATTCTCAAGGAAAAGGAATGACATGTTCTGTATGCTCTCTCGGAAAATTGATCATAAGACCATTGCCAACAAAAATTGATAAAGAGTTACCAAAATTCCTTGAATGGATTCAAGGCGATATTTGTGGACCTATACATCCACCATGTGGACCTATATACTAATTTATGGTAATGATTGACGCGTCAAGTAGATGGTCACATGTTTGTCTATTATCATCTCGAAATATGCCATTTGCGAGATTTCTAACTCAAGTAATCAAACTAAGAGCTCAATTCCATGATTATTTAATAAAGAGAGTTAGACTAGACAACGCTGGTGAGTTTACATCCCAAGCATTTAATGATTATTGTATGGTAACTAGAATCGAGGTTGAACATCCTGTAGCTCATGTTCAGACACAGAATGGTTTGGCAGAATCATTAATAAAACATTTGCAACTTATTTCAAGACCATTGATCATGAGATCAAAACTCCTGACCTCTGTATGGGGACATGCTATTTTGCATGCAGAAGCGCTTATTCGGGTAAGGCCAAGTGCATATAATAAATATTCCCCATTACAGTTGGCATTTGGTCGAGAACCAAATATTCACATCTACGAATCTTTGGTTGTGCGGTATATGTACCAATAGCACCACTACAACGTACAAAGATGGGACCACAAAGAAGGTTAGGGATATATGTTGGTTATGATTATCCATCAATCATACGATACTTAGAACCACAAACTGGTGGCGTCTTTACGGAACGGTTGGAAGATTGTCACTTTGATGAAAAAGTATTCCCGGTTCTAGGGGGAGAAAACAAAAAGATAGAAAGAGATATCAAATGGAGTGTACCATCTCTGTTACACCTTGATCCCCCTTCTAAATGTTCAGAACTAGAAGTTCGACGAATTATACATTTATAAAGATAGCTAATCAACTACCTGATGCATTTGTGGATACCAAAAGGGTGACAAAATCACATATACCGGCCGCAAATGGTCCTGCTCGTGTAGAAATACCACAAGAACGCGAAAAAGCAGATGATACACGTGAGTCTAGAACACGTTTGAAGCGTGGTAGACCTCTTGGTTCCAAAGAAAAAAATCCTAGAAAATGGAAGGAAGTTGATAAACATAATGATCCTAAAATAATAGAATCTGTTCCAGAAGAAACAAATCATGAATCAGAAAATAATGTCGAACATAATGAATCCGAAGAAAATAATGAGATTTATATCAACTACATTCATAATGGAAAGATATGGAATCGAAATGATATGGATGATGTTGATGATGTTTTCTCATACCTTGTATCAAAGGAAATAGAAGAAGAGACTGAAGATCCAGAACCTAAGTCTGTATTAGAATGTCAAAAGAGACATGACTGGATAAAATGGAAAAGTGCGATTCAAGTCGAACTTGATTCACTTAATAAACGAGAAGTATTCGGACCAATTGTACTCACACCGAAAGCTGTAAGACCAGTATGATACAAATGAGTTTTTGTTCGGAAACGAAATAAGAAAAACGAGGTTATGAGATACAAGGCTCGCCTCGTAGCTCAGGGCTTTTCTCAAAGACCTGGGATCGATTATGACGAAACACACTCTCCAGTTATGGATGCAATCACATTCAGATTTTTAATGAGTCTAACGGCTAACAAAAATCTGGAGATGCATCTTATGGACGTCGTTACAGCATACCTATATGGATCATTAGATAATGATATTTATATGAGAATTCCTGAAGGATTTAAGATGCCAAAAGCATTAACTTCCAAAACCAAAAGAGTTATGTGCAATAAAATTGCAAAGATCATTATATAATTTAAAGCAGTCTGGACGCATGTGGTATAATCCTCTCAGTGAGCTTAACAAAAGAAGGATACGTGAACAATCCTATATGTCCATGTGTTTTCATCAAGAAAACAATATCCGGTTTTTTTTTTAATTATTGCAGTATATGATCTAAACATTATTGGAACTAAGGAGGAAATACAAGTAGCATCGAATTACTATAAAGGAGAATTTGAGATGCAAGATCTCGGACAGACAAAGTATTGTCTAGGTTTACAAATTGAGCATTCCCAAAAAGGTATATTTGTACATCAATCTGCATACACAAAAAGAGTGTTAAAACGTTTTAACATGGATAAAGCAAATCCTCTTAGTACTCCTATGGTTGTGAGGTCACTTAGTGTTAAAAAGGATCATTTCCGACCACATGAAGAAAATGAAGACTTACTCGGTCCTGAAGTACCATATTTAAGTGCAATTGGAGCTCTTATGTATCTCGCAAATTGCACTCGACCTGATATATCATTTGCCATTAACCTTTTGGCTAGATTCAGCTCATCTCCTACATAGAGACATTGGATCGGAATTAAACATGTTTTTTAGTTAACTTCAAGGGACAGTTGATTTAGGATTATTTTATCCTAAAAGCTCAAATGGACAAATGATTGACTTTGCTGATGCAGGGTATCTATCTGATCCTCACAAAGCCCGTTCACAAACTGGATACGTTTTCACAGTCGGAGAAACTACTATATCATGGCGCTCTCAGAAACAAACACTTGTGGCTACTTCCTCAAACCATGCTGAAATCATTGCCCTCCACGAGGCAAGTAGAGAAAGTGTATGGCTTAGATCAATGACCCAGAATATCAAACCAAGTAGTGGACTTTGCGTTAGTACAGAACCGACCATCTTATATGAGGATAATGCTGCATGTGTTGCCCAAACAAAGGAAGGATATATCAAAAGCGACAGGACCAAACATATTCCACCAAAGTTTTTCTCATATACCCAGGAGCTTGAGAAGAATAAAGAAATTTAAGTGAAATATGTTCGATCATCTGACAATGCTGCAGACCTTTTCACAAAGTCATTACCTACTTCGATGTTCCGAAAATATGTCCACAACATTGGGATGCGTCATCAACGAGATCTATAAAACTGTTCTAGTCACTCGAGGGGGAGCATGCGAGGTTGTACTCTTTTTACCTTTACTATAATTTTTCCTACTGGGTTTTTTCTAGAAAGGTTTTTAACGAGGCAACTAAAGATGAATCCCAAGCGATGAGAATGACAAATGGACTCCAAGGGGGAGTGTTGCAAAGTCAAAACTTTGCGTAAGGATTTGATGATGGAGCCCATTTACTTATCTCTTACAGTAATATTTTTCTGATTTTCTTCTATATATAGCATGCACTCGTCCATTGTAAGAGATACCAAAAATCAAATACAAAATCTCTCTCTCCCTCTTTGGTACACATCTATCTCCATTTTTATTATTACGTTCTATTAAAATAACTATATTAATATTATTCACATATTTATGCTGATATAATATACAATATACGATATAATTAAAACACTCTTAAAATTAAATCTCTTTGTTTTGAATACTTGCATCCAAGCTGAGGTTTGTGACTATAACATATATTAGATGATTACGCTAACATTTGTAATTTTGTAGATTCATGAATAGTTACAAACAATAGTTCTGAGTTCACTTGAGGATCATGTTTCTTTAAAAAAACTAGTATCTAAACTTTGGAAGGCCTGCCGAATCACATTGAAATTTTGTTGAAATTTAGTAACCTCTAGCTATAACCAAACTGTGATTTAGCCATCACCATGACCAAAGAATAACAAAAAATTTGACTACAGAAAAAAAAATATACATTTACCAAACTTCGTGGCCATGAAAATGTTAGGTTACTAAATTGGCCATGAATGTCAACAGACTTGGCCACTAATCAAGTACGTATGAGTTACGAACTAGAATATTAACATCATATTTTTATGTAAATTTTTTGATGTCTTTTTTTTTTTTAATTTAGAGCAAAGCCGTCTTGTCGTGACAATAACATATTCGTAGATTAACTAGGCTAACATTAGTATTTATCAAGATTAATTAATCAACTTCAAAAGAGTTACAATATTTCTGAGCTTACTTGAGTATCATGTTTCTTAAAATGCGATGTTCCAAACTTTGGATTTTGAAGCCCAGCCAAACCCCTATAATGAAAATTTTGTAAGGATGAAGTATCTCTCACTACAAACAAAAAAAAACTGCCATGGGCCATTTAATCTTTTTTTTTACTCTAATAAATAGACAAATAAATAACTGATCTAAGCATATAAAGCCTTATCATCGAGTTTCTTCCCCCTCCCTCATCAATCATCGGCTATTTTTTAGCTCATGGGATCCAGAGACTTCAGTCTCTCCAACAACGCTCAATTTTCACA